TCACTATATACTTGTAATGAGAAAAATTCAAGAGGAAGAGATAACAACCCTAAACATATATACACCAAATATAGAACCACCCAACTATATAAGACAAATAATAGACATGAAAAATCAAATAAGCAATAACACAATTATAATGGAGGACCTCGATAACCCATTGTCACAAAGTGATAGATTAAACTAGACCAAAAAAAAAAAAAAAAATTCAGCAAAAAACCCAACTGAACCAAACCTGTGAACAAATGGACTTAGTGGTCACTTACAGAGCTTCAACCAATAACGTCAGAATACACATTCTTCTCAGTTGTACATGGGATATTCTTTAAAACAGACCATATTCTAGCCATAAAACATGCTTCAGTAAATGCAAAAGAAATGAAATTATCCCGTGTGTATTATCTGACCAGTAAAATAAAATACGAAATTAATGACAAAAACACATGAACACACGGAAATAAACAACATCCTCCTGAACAACCAAAGGGTCACAGATGAAATTAAACAATATCTACAACCAAACACAAATGCAAATATAACTTACTGGGACCTGCAGGATGTCATGAAAGTCCTGAGAGGGAAATTTATAGTGGTGAATTCTCACATTAGGAAAGCAGAACGAACACAAATAAACAACCTAATGTTGTACCTCAAGCTTCTAGAAAAAGAACAGCAAATGAAGCTCAAAGCCCATGCAAGGGAAAAAATTATAAAAATCAGAGCAGAAATTAATGCAATTGAGACTAAGGAAACAACACAAAGAATTAACAAATCAAAGAGTTGGTGGTTTGAAAGAATAAGCAAAATTGATAAGCCCCTCGCCAGCCTCAAATTCATGAAATAAGAAAAGGGTGAAATCACTATAGATCTTGTGGAAATTCAGATCAATACTTACTTCAAAAATATTTACTTGCACAGGATGGAAAACAGAAGAAATGGATACATTCCTAGAAATGTATGAATTGTCAAAGCTGAATCAAGAAGATATAAAAATTCTGAATAACCTAGTATCAGGTCATGAAATTAAAAACGTATTGGGGCTGGGGATTTAGCTCAGTGGCATAAATGCTCGCCTGGCAAGCGTGAGGTAGTGAGTTTGATCCCTGGTACAAAAAAAAAAGTATCAAAACTTACAACAAAAGCTAAAGCCCAGGTCTTGATGGATTCACTGCTGAATTCAGTAAAAAATGTAAAGATTTAATGCCACTACTCCTCAAACTCTTTAATGAAATTGAAAGGGAATATTCTCTAACTCATCACTGGAAGCATTATTCTCATACCAAAACCAGAGAAAGACCCAACCAAAAAAGAGAACCTCAGGCCAGTCTCACTAATGAACACAGATACAAAAATCCTCAATAAAATACTAGCAAACAGAATGCAGCAAAACATTAAGAACATTCTATATACATCATGACAGGGATAGTTGAACATACACAAATCAGTAAATGTGATACACCCAATCAACAGAGCCAAAGACGAATATCACATGACCATCTCAACAGATGCAGAAAAAGCTTTTAATAAAGCCCAACATTCATTTGTGATAAAAACCCAAGAAAATTAGAATAGATGGTTTTTACATCAATCTGATAAAAACCATCTGTGAAAGACCAACAGCCAGTATCATACTAAATGGACAAACACTAAAAGTGTTCACTCTAAAATCAGGAACAAGACAAGGATGTCCACTATCACCACTTCTATTTAATATAGTTCTGGAAACATTAGCCAGAACAATTAGATAAGAAACAGAAATGGAATAAGCATAAGAAAGAAAGGAGTGACATTATCATTATTTACAGATGATGTGATACTCTACATAGAAGACCCCAAAAACTCCACAAAAAGATTTGTAGATTTAATAACCAAATTCAGCAGCATAGCTAGATACAAAGGCAACACTCAAAAAATCAATAGCATTGCAGTACACAAAAAAAACTCGCTGAGAAATAACTTAGGGAAGTAATACCCTACACAATAATGTCCAAAAACGTGAAATACTTAGGAATCAACCTAACAAAGTAAAGTATCTACATATTGAAAATTATAGAGCTCTGAAAAAGGAGATTGAGGAGGGTATCAGAAAATGGAAAGATAACCCTTGTTCATGGACAGGAAGAACACTGTGAAAATGGCCATTCTCCCAAAAGTGTTCTACAGATTTAATGCAAACCCAATTAAAATACCATTAGCACACCTTACAGATCTAGAGAAAATATTGCTGAAATTCATTTGGAAACATAAGAGACTTAAAATAGCAAAGGCAATCCTGGGTCACAAAGGCAAGGCAGGAGGCATCACAACCCCTGACTTGAAATTACTCAACAAAGCTACAGCGACAAAATCAGCATGGTACTGGCAAAAAAGAGACTTGAGAATCAATGGAACGGATCAGAAGATGCAGCTACAACTACACTCACACACCTTATTTTTGACAAAGAGGCCAAACAAGTTCACTGGAAGAAAGATAACCTCTTTAATAAATGGTGCTGGAAAAACTAACTTTCTATATGCCGAAGACTAAAACTAGACACGTCTATCATCATGTGCTTAAGTAAAAATAGATCAAAGATCTAAATATTAAAGCAGAAACACTAAATCTATTGGCAGAAAAAGGCAGAAATCTTGAAGACATAGGTGTAGGCAGAGTTTATACACAAAAACCAAAGTGCACAGGAAGTTCTTCAAAGAATCAATAACTGGGATGTCATCTTAGTAAAAAGCTTTTGTATATAAAAAGAAATCACTAACAAGAGTGAAAAGAAAACCCAAAGTGGAAAAAAAATCTTAGCCAACTGTTCCTCAGACAAAGGACTTCTATCTAGAATGTGTAAAGAACTGGAAAAAAAGAAAAAAAGCAGGCCCCAAAATTCAAAGAACCAATCCAAAAATGGGCATCTGAAATGAATACACACTTCTTCGATGAACAAATACAAATGGCAAATAAATACATGACTGGTCATTTGAGAAAGGCAAATTTAAACAACACTGAGATTCCATCTCACCCCAGAAAGAACAGCTATTGTCAAGAAATCAACCAGTAACAAAGGCTGGCAGGGCTACGGGAAAAAGGACCCCTTCTCCACTGTGGGCATGTAGGCTGGTGCAACCACTGTGGAAATCAGTGTGGAGACTCCTCAAAAAACTAGGATTAGAGGTCCCATTCAACCCAGCTATTCCCCTTATGGGTATTTTCCCAGAATTAAAAGCTCATACCATAGCAACATATGTGCAGCCATGTTTATAGTAGCACAATCTGTAATAGCTAAATTCTTGGAAAAAATCCAATGCCCATCAACCAAGAAATGGACAAAGAAAGATGTATTTTATACCATGGAGTACTATTCAACTACAAAGGATAAACTCGAGGCTTTTATAAGTAAATGGATGCACCTAGAGACCATAGTTACAAGTGAAACAAATAAGACGTGCATGTGTAAACACTGTATTGTCTCCCTAGCATAAGAAACTCAAAGAGTTAATAATATCCAAAACATACAATAGTGGTGGCACATTCCTGTAATCCAGCACTCGGAGGCTGGGGCTGGAAGATCACTGCAAGTTTGAGACCGGCCTGGGTTACAAAGTGAGCTCAAGGCAGCCTGAACTGCATAGTGAGACCTTGTCTCAAAAAAAGTACAATATTGTAAAAGGAGAATAAACTGCTCAAAAAGAAAGAACAATTAGGATAGAGTAAAGCAGAAAAGGGAAAAAAAATAAATGTATATACACACTCATATACAAAGATAGCTAAGATAATACTACTAACTATTGCATTGAAAAATGGTTTGTGCTTATATTTTTGAATCAATTTTGTAGGCATACGTCTTATAATCTAAGCAACTACTCTGAAGTTAACCATATGCAATATATTAACCATTGTTAAACTCCTATTATCTTGTTTTGAAATTCTGTAGGTTTTTATCTCTTTAAAATTTTTAAAAAACGCTGTTGTGCCTCTACCCCTTTAGGGTGAATTAGATGCATCGTTTATTTGGATTCTTCTGCATGGGAGATTTTTTTGTTATTCCTCACTGATTAATCATCTATATATATCATGGTAGGCAAGTGATTTTTCACCAAGTTGTCTGTTATTTTTCTAAAAAATTATGTAAATACTCCCTTCCCTTTCAGAATAGCACGAATGCAATAGTGAAAATAAGATTTTTTCAGAAACACATGCCCCTCCAGCATTTTTGTTTACTTTTTCATGTGAGAGAGAGAGAGAGAAAGAGAGAGAGAGAGAGAGAGAGAGAGAGAGAGAGAGAGAGAGAGAAACAGGGTCTTGGTTTTATAGCCCAGAATGGCCTTGAACTCTGAGACCTTCGTGCCAGACATGTGAGCCATACCTGGTGGGTTATGATTTTTAAATGACTTTGCATTTCAGAGATGAGGGAAAAATAATAGTAGTTAGAATCAGTACAGCTGCCTTAACTAATTTCAAATAATACCATCGAGGAAATACCACCTAAATCACTACCACAAAAGTTCAAAGGGGTTGGGAACCAAAGATTGTATTTTATATTAGCTGTTGCAATTTTCAGACAGTAGTATTAGAATTTTTGAAGTAATATTATTGTACTTAGAAACTTTCATATTATACCCCACTTTTCCTTATTTCAAAATGTCTCGTATATATGTAAATGAACAGGAAAAGAGTTCAACTTTAGGAAAAGACTTACAATTAATAGTATTTTAGCTATCAATGATTAACATATCTAAAAATTATAAAAACTGCACAACCAGATTTTTTTTTTTTGGTACTGGAGATCAAACTCACGACCTTGCACTTAATCAAGCAAGTGTTTGAAACCCTGAGCTAAACCCGCTGCCCCCAACCAGATTTTTTAAAATTCTTAAATTAAACTTTTTATGCACATGATTCCAACGTGGTAAGAGAACGATGACATGAAAGCGCAAGTATACAGAAGTATGAACCAGCTAACATCGACTCCAGCCGCTTCTAATCCCACCCAGGCACAGAGAAACCATGAGAATGTTATAAAACAAAGTTTATTCTGCAATACTTTATCATAATGAATTGCATCTCTTTGGTAAAAATAAACTTTATAAACATTTTAATAATCAAAGATTAGATACAAAAACTAAACATCCGTAAGCTGTTTTTAATACGAGCAAAGACTGGCAACTGAGAAGTGGTTCACTGTGGCTGTTCACCTACTGGCAGTTTCAATTCAAACCCAGGACAATTTTTATTCTATGCTAAAAAAGAACAGTTTAACACATCTCTTGAATCGGAAAGCCTTCTTATACTTTCATTTAAAAATAAATAATATTATAGTGAATTGGCAATTATACATTTTTATACACTATATGTTGGCAACATAATACTTGAAAATGAAGCATTTTAATAAAATTGTACAACAATTTTAAAAACAAGTTTTGACAATGGCACTGGCAGTTAGATGTAAAGGAAAAATGGCAGGTTTAACATTAAAATACTCTATTATTTTTGCCTTTCAATAAATATCTTGACTACATCATTAACATTGAATAAACCTTAAATCAAAGATTACACATTTGAAACTAAGAAAAATTATAAAATATGTAAACCAGAAAAATCTCAAAACAATTCTTAAATACTATAGTCTCCCCATAAAAGGGTGTTACGTTACTATAGCAGATAAGATAGGTTTTATAGCTTTGTGAATACATCTGTTGCTTAAACTTCTGGGAAGGGCCACCTGGTCTACCAAAACACATACATTGCCTCCTTAACACTTTTTCTAGCTTTGAGTAATGCTAACGTATATTTAGTTATCTAGTATGAACCTTATACATAATGCCTCAGAAATTAGCAAAAGAAAATAGCTATCTACTAAGCTTTGTGATACACAGGAACTCTAAGTTAAAGCAGTCATACTGGCTATGAGGACAGGCAAAGCTCAAAGGCAGAAAAAGGGAGGTGATCCACCAGTAGTTTTTCCATGAATACAGATATTTTTGCTCTCTGGTTTTAAAATATATTAACTGCTTTAGTAATATATTGCACAAATAAATTCCAAAAATACATATTCAAGAAACATTGATTTTATGTGGGATATGAAAGATTGAGATTAACTGTGCCAAAACAAAAGTTTTACTAGAAATCTATTATAAATTGATACTGGTTGAACAAAATCTGTATTATTTTGATGTAAGGCAAGTTATTTTCCAGCTTAAGTTACGATTTTAAAGTAAGCTGGAAAATATGTAACCTCTCTAACCTAAGTTGTTTTCATTACTGCAAAATTTGTTAGACTTGGATATAGGTTTCCAGTCCACAGGACTTAGAACGACTTCCTGTAAGTGGGTGATGCCGAGCTATGTTTGCATCTCAACACAACTGAAGAAGTAGCTCAGCATCTCAATGCAAGTCATAAAAGCACTGTCATTAAAACTTTGGTTCTCTCGAAAATAACTGCCATGGGGCTGGGTGTGGCGGTGCACACCTGTCATCCCAACACTTGGGATGCTGAGGGAGAAAGATCTCAAGTTTCAGGCCAGCGTGGGCTACACAGTGAGTTCAAGCCCAGCCTGAACTACATAGTGAGATGGTCTCAAAAAACTGAACAAGCAAACAAACAAACAAAAAAGAAGGAAAAGAAAACAGACAGTAACTGCCATCGATATTAGTAAATGAAAAGTGATGTATTGAATTCTGTATAAAAATCAAGTGTAAAACACTGTAATTTCTCCCAGTTAACTTTTAGTGCACAAGAGGTAACTTCTTCACATGTGATAAATGTAACTTAAGTATTTAAATTTGTGGGAAGAGTACATGAAAAGGGAGAGAAAAATCAAAGAATTTATTAAAGTGGTTTTTATGTATACTGAGACAAAAACCTTGAAGATACTTATTTCAGCTGAGAGTAAGTCCTTCTCTCCTCATCTTAGATCATTTCCCTTTATTTGTAGGGACTTTCCCATGGACAGATCCTGTAGGTACAGCAGTACAGAAGGCTAGCAGAACGAGGTGAAGTGGGACCAGATCATAGAAGTGTGCTGCTATGCTCTATCTAGAGGGTATGGTAAACAACTTCAAAACATTGTTATTAAACTGATTATTTGTAATCTCTTTACTATTCACAGTGTGGTAAATAATTTTTTCAATTTTTATTCATTGTCTATGGTAAAAGAGATTGAATTAGTTATTTTCTGTAAATAAGACATTTGTAAGGAAACCATTACTTATAGTTCATCCTACATTATCAACAAATTAAAAATTATTAAATTTCAACAGCACCAATTCTATTAACGTGGCATCCAGATTCAATTAAAGTTAACATAAACAGAACAGAGAACTTCAATGCTATTAACCTTGGTTTAAAGTCTCATTTATGGAAAAAGGTGCTTTTGTTCTCATTTGACAGCTTTGTCCAGTTAAAATAAGCCATTTTAAAATTCCATGAAAATGTTTTGTCATGAAAACAGCTGAAAGCAAATGAACCTGACAATGTATGTGTGTATGTGTATATAAATTATGAGAAAAAAATCAAAACAGGTTCATAGTCTGTAAGTGACAGAGGACACACCATCAGATAAGACTGAACTGTTGGAAAGCTGCTCCCATCACTGTAAAAACACAGAGATGTATGATGAATTGTAGCATTAGTATCCCTTGTTTTTTCTGAATAATAGGGTCAAACTATGTAAATGATATAAAAAAACTGTCTCTTACAAGCAGATTTTGTTCAAATACTTAAAATACTTTAGTCAATGCACTTTTAGAATATAAAACCTTTGCTCATGGATTAATGGCACATATGAGCACTATACTGCTTCCTAAAACAGTACTGTGTAAGATTTAATTTTTAAATCCCTGAAGGTATTTTATCTTTACAGTTTCATTATGTCTTTTAAAAGTTAATTCAGCAATTATAACCCATATAAAATTGGGAAAGCAATTTTTTCCTAAATGACCTACCTTAGCTTATGATAAGTAGTAATTACAGAAAATGTTTTATTCACTCCATTCCAAGACTCCAGAATGCAGTGTACTTAGAAAGCAAATAAAAAGTTCTCTTATTGCAAAAGTATCAAAATGGGTATTACTCCATTACACAGTCTATGGCTATATCCTCTTATTGGATAATTTCTATTCAACAAAGATAGCTAGTGGCTAAAACTGGAACAATGTTTGCAAAGCACTTGGGGGAGGAATAAAAGGGCCCCAATGAAGGCTATGCAGTATCTGTTAAATAAAAACATTTCAAAGATACTTTTGTGTCATAATAGTAATTAAAGCACTTAGATGAACTCACACCCCCAAAACTACTTTTTCCGAATGTTAGAACTCTGTTGTATTCTCCACTTATGTTAAGCAAAAGGAACTTTCTAGACATCTAGGATCTTTTCCAATTTATATTCGACTTTGCTCATGCTGCAACAAAAAAAAAAATTTAAAACAAAAAATAAGGAAAAAACCCCTAATCTTATGTAGATTGTGTGTCAGAGGAGTGAGAAAGATATCAAGAAAACTTTTACCTGCATCAGTAACTACAGTTAATTACAGAGTGGGAAGGAAAACGAAAAGAGGTAAACAGTCACCAAGTCTTCCATTTCGATGCATTAACAGAAGAGGTTTTCCCTTTAAGAGCCTGGGGATTTTCTTGCATAAAAATTTCCAAATCTTGGAGACACTTAGCACAAACCTTATGCTTTTAGGTTTTTGTATCATATATTTATGATTGGGCATGATCCTAACAGCAATCATTTAATAAAAAATGTAAAAAAAAAAGTTATCAAAAATGTTTTGAAAGAAAGAAGCAACTGGCACCCTTCCTCCACCCTAAAAACTAAAGAAGTCCATTATGGCTTTGATACCCCTTGAAAGGGTTAAGTAGAAGAGTATTGCCACACTTTAAAAGAATTCCACACTAACCACTATTTCTATTTTTTCCGCTGCTTTTGGTTTTGTATTTTTGCAGTACTTATTAGGGAACCTAGGCACGTACGAATTCCAGCAAGGTGGAGCAGAGATCCAGCGGCCTCCTTGAGCTCCTCGTCAATTTCCTGACATGACTGTTTCCGCATCTTTCTGCCTGGCTGCCCCTTTTGAGAGGTATCTGCACAAGCCTGTGCCACGTAGCCACTGTTTCCAAGTGGGTCCTCTTCATAATCGCCATCTGTGTCTTCTTCACTGTGAAACCCTTCACTGCCATCACTTCCTGCGTGGCTACTCTTTGGGATGAACGCATACACCTCCTCTACAGAGGACAGGGAAGACACACTCGACCTGGACGCACACCGCTGTGCTACCATGCTGCTGGCGCTGTAGTTGTGATCTTCTTTTGGGTCAATGCTGGTGGCTAAGGAATCACTCTCTTGTAATCGCACAGCACTAGGATGACTGAATGCATGGCCGTAACTCCTCTTTTTCTGCAATGATGTTTTAAGAGGCAGAGGCTTCTCGCCTGTGGAAAACAGAACTTCCATCAATAGGTCAAATGCATTTGAGAGTTTTTATAAACAGACCACTGAAAACTAGTTACCATTCCTGAGCATGAGGTGCTTTAGGTTATAATGCTTTATATGATTTTTCCTTTCATTACCCCAAAACATTTTAGAACTTTTAAAAAATATGCTTTGACCTTCCCATGGAACATGTAAATCATTTTGAACTACTCACGAATAATGCCTCAGTATGAATATAGCACTTTGATTAGCTCACCGTTTGTTGGTATTTAGGTTGTTGTCAACTTTTTACTACTATACATAACACAACAATGAAAATTCTCTGTCTTTCCTCACACATACACACATACTTTTGTAGGAAGAATACCAAGAAATACAACTGCTAAGTACGAGGATATATACATTTTAAATTAGTGGTATTCTCAATTGCTCTCTAATGTGGCTGCACCAGTTAACACCCAATAGTAAATGAGAAAACCTACTCCCATACTATCAAACTTTTTTAAAAAACATACTGGAGATTGAGTCCAGGGGCTTTGTACTGAGGTACATACTCGGCCCTTTTTATTTTATTATTTGTTATCACTTTTTAAATTTTGAGACAGGGTTTTGTTAGGGGGTCAAACTGCCCAGGTTGAGATCTAATTTGTGATTCTCTTGTCTCAGCCTCCCAGAAACAGGCATCAGTTGCTTCACACAGCTTAGCCATCATTTTTTATAATCTCCAAGATTTAAAAAAAAAGGTATCTCAATACTGTTTCATTTTGCGCTTCTTCAGTTTTTACAGTAGTTCATCTTTTCACGTGTGCCATTCATATTTATTTCTTCTTCTGAGATCCCTTTATTCAAGTATCTTGCCAATTTTTCTGTTGAACTGCGTAATTTCTTACTTGCAGAATCTTTCAGAAACTCAGTACTAACCTTCTGTCTGTAATACATGGTTTTAAAAGTTCTCCAGTACTGTGTTCATGTTATTTTCTTCCTTTATTTTAGTAGTGCTAGAACCTGGGGCCTCACACACATGCACGCACTGAGCAAGTACTCTGCCGCCGAGCTAGCCCACAGCCTCCTGGGGCGCTTTCCCTAAAGGTATTTTCTGTATCATAACTGTAAATTTAGCCATCTTTTTCCTGTATAGAATTTGTGTTTTCTATTTTAAAGAAGCTTTTCCTGTTCTAACATATAAATATACTTTCCTATATTTTCTTACAGATACCTTTTATTTTCATTTTTAGTTCTTTTAAGCTTATTTTCTAAGTATGCTATGGTATCCATTTCTTGGTCAATGTAAACAAATTTCTCACAAATCCAATTAATTTCAATCTTTCAACTGTTCATATAAATAAATGAAAATATAAAACAGAAACTGTTATTCAGATTAAAACAATTTAACTGAAAATAACTTACCATGACACTTAAAGCATTCTGCATTCTAAATTATATTTGGAAAGCTACTCAATATTTTATTTGAAAAGAAAAGCATGATTGCTTACATTCTAAAATCCCTTGTTCTATGGAAGTATTTAAAAGTATCATTGCAGTGGCAGCATCGATATCAGATTCTGAAAAGGGAAAAGAGTGGCAACATTAATGTTCTCCAAGAGGCTGGTGAAAGGATCCGCATGCAGGCCAAGATGACCAGCACTAAGATCTCTGCTGTAATTTTCCTACTTTAGAAAAAGGCAAAGACATAAGTTAAACATCATATGACACCACACGTATTATTTTGCAGTATGCTTCTGCTCATTTAATTATGGGACAGTTTTGTGAATAGCATTGTGTAGAAGAATGGAGAGATACTAGAGAAAATATAAGTTCTCTGATGCATAATGAAAAATGAACATCTGAGCTGCATATTTCAAAAGGTTCATTCTTAAAACTGCTAAATTTTCTAGAAGTATACAGCATTCTAATTTTCAGCATTTTTACCTTAAATAATATCCTATGCGAGGCAGGCATGATGGCACACACCTGTAATCCCAGCACTAGGAAGGCTGAGGCAGTAGGACTGCTGTGAGTTGGAGACCAGCCGGGGCTACAAAGTGAGCTCAAGGCCAGCCTAAACTACGTAACATAACAAAACCCTATTTCAAAAAGACAAAAAAAAAAAAAAAAAAAAAAAAAAATCCTACGAATATCTGCAGTTAAGAAATACAACATTAATCACATGCTAGTTGCAGAAGGCATACTTAGCCATCTGATCTTTGACAAAAGGGCCAAAAACCTGCTGGAGGAAAGACAGATTCTTCAACAAACAATGCTGGGAAAACTGACTCTATGTACACATGCAGAAGACTCAGTCTAGATGCATCTCTCTCTCCCTGTCCTAATTAGATCAAAATAAATCAAAGATCTAAATTTTAAAACAGAAACACTGAATTTGCTGATATATTATGCAAATACATTGAAGGCAGAGGCAAAGATCTTCGGAACCTCAAAACGCGTAAGAAATAAAACAACATCAAGAATCACCCAATGGGATATATCAAATTAAAAAGCTTCTGCACAGCAAAAGAAGCAACCAAAAGAATGAAAAGACAACCTACAGAATGGGAAAATATTTTTGCCAGCTACACTTCAGACAAGAGGATTAATATCTAGAATATATAAAAAACTAAAAAAAAAACCCCAAATGAGACCTTCCCCAAAGACTCAAAAATGGGCAACTGAAATGAACAGACACGTTTCTACAGAAGTACAGATGGCCAATAAATACACATAAAAAATGCTTAACATCTCGACCATTAAAGAAATGCAACGTAAAACATCACTGAGGTTCCATCTTACTCTGGAAAGAATGGCCACCATCCAAAAATACACCAAACAGTAAACGCTGGTGAGGCTGCATGGAAAAAGGAACGCTTCTACATCAGCGATGGAAGTGTATGCTAGCACACCATCATGGAAATCAGTAGGGAGGTTCCCCCAAGAAACAAAAGTACAAATTCCGTTTGACTTGACTTCTCCCCACCCCAGCCCACACCCAGGCATTTTCCCCAAAGAGTTAAAGACGTTGTATTTCAGTGGTACATGGATATCCATGCTTATAGCAGCACAACTCATGACAGCTAAATGTTGGAAGGGACCTATGTGTCCATCAACAGGTGAATGGAGAAAGACAATGTTGCATTTATGTATAATGTGTATTACTCTGCTATAAAGGGTACATTTAAGTCATTTGTAGGAAAATGGATGCATCCTAAGATACAATGTTAAGTGGAATAAATCAGACAAATGAGCTTAAATATTGCACACTTTCTCTTACATGAGAAACCTGAAGTATAAATAAGGAGTAAAATAAACAATAATAGGGAAAAGAGAAATAGGTCTTTGGCAAATGTGAAGGGGATGAAGAGATAGAAGAAGGGGAAAGAATGGAGGGAGAGGATGTAAGTATGACGAAGACATGTCGTGTACACAAAACTCCCAGGATGAATATAATCACCATGTAAGATAAATATGTACTAATAAAAATAAAAATTAAAAAGTGTATGAAACTGGTAGTTCAGGTTATTTCAATCTATAAATGCTAACTGAATTTGTTTTTGTTTCTGTTTACTTTGAGGCAGGGTCTCACTATGCAGTCTAGGGTAGCCTTCAACTCACTATGGAGCCCAGGCTGGCCTCAAACTCATGACAATCCTCCTGCTTCAGGCTCTTTAATGCTAGGATTACAGGTACGTGCCACCACCTCCAGCAACAAATGAGTAATTATTGTGGGAACAAAAATATTACTAATATATTATGTTTCCATTATAATTATTCACAAGCTTATAAACCCTAGATATTTAAATAATATTCACAAGGTCAGACATAATTATGTTTATTTCATGAAGGAAAAAAGGCTTTAAAGGGCTGATAGAAGTACATTCTATTCTTGTTATCATCGTTTCTCATTTCTACTATTGTAAGGTTTTCTCCATGTTAGTAGAGTATTAGTCTGAATAATTAACTGAAGAAAAAAACATATGAGTTCAAGGCCAGCCTGGACTACATAGTGAGTTCAAGAACAGCCTGAATTAGAGGGCAAGCCTTTGTCTCTACAAATAAAGAAAGAAAGACAGAAAGTTGGGATAAAATTTTAAAATGTGTATAAATACTAGGTTTTATATAAAGAATAAATTTTAAATAAGATATGAAGTTGTATCTTAAAGCTGAATTTGCTCTATAGATTTCCAATTTACTTGCAATATCTAATTATAACTATTATGAATTTTAAAAAGAAGGCAAGATGATACTGACTTATTTGCTCCCTTACTTGTCAATAAACTTCTTTTAGGTAGAAAATGTTACTGTTTTTGATTCTAATTATCAGGTTCTAATCCATCTCTCATAGTTTGCTATGAGACAGACACAATCCCACACAACTCTTTTTTTCCCTTGAATAAACTGTGCCCTCATGAAACAAAGTGTGTCTACATTATTGTCACCCTAATTACACTGTCATTTCTTTGGGACAGGACTGTATCTTATTTCTTGTGTCACCATAATGCCTGCAAAGACAGGAGGATCCAAGAATTTTGGAAGTGGGGAATGACAGTATGTTGGGAAATGTTCTGTTCTGTCATTGATTGAATACACTGAATGTCCTACTATGACACTAACACCACTCTAGGGAATGTACATGTGACAGAAAACACAACAGGAAAACCCTTAACCGCTCAGAACACAAAGAATTAAAACACGGTAGGCAGTGATGAGCACTGGGGAGGAAATGAAAAGGGAGGAAAGAAAGAGAAAGGGGGAGCGCCCGACATGTGGCTAAAACTTTACTTTTTTAAGTTTTTTTTTTTAATTTTTATTATTCCATGTTTGCAGTACATAACTACACTCACTGTGGGGAGCCAGTATAGGTACATCTTAAAGTAATTTTAAATAGAGAGGTCAGGGAAGTCCTCAAGGGGGAGAGAGGAGCTGAGCTAAAACCTCAGGGAGGTGAGGTAAGGGAACAGCCTTCCACGCAGAGAGAACACTAGGTATAAAGGACTGAATCAATGATGCCCCCACATGTCACAGTCAAGAGGCCAGGTAAAACAGCCTTTTCCAATTTCTCTTTTAGAATGAGAGGAGACAGTTTGACAGTGCTCAGAATTTTAAACTCTATGGAAAAAAGGAGTACATCTGTCAGCGCATATTGCCTCTCTGCATGACTCGGAGACGGGCAACTCACCTTGCACAGAGGGCTTCCCTATCAAGGCTGGCACTGCTAGGGGAGGGCAGTGTGGGCTGAATGTCCAAGTCCACTGTGCCTTGGCCCAGTGTGCACAGCATTAAGAAAAAGCCCTAGCAGAAGGGTTCCTGCTCTCTGCATGAATGAAGCCCTGCTGGGATTTCAGCCCAGGGCCTCTGCTTGGAGCTACATCTCCGTGACTTTTGTCATTTTTTAAGGACAAAGTCTTGCAAAATTGCTAAGTGGCCCAGGCTGGGCTCAAACTTTTGATCCTCCTGTCTCAGCCTTCCACAGTGCCGGGATTAAGATGTGAGTTGTCATACTCAGCAATAATTTTAGTTTCATATAAGATTAACATTGTCAAAAAAATTGTCTACAATTTTGTAAATGAGGGAGGTGGTATTAGGGCAGAGAATCTAAAATAGAAAAATATAATGAAGAACAAATTACAGGAAATTCATTTCTAATAAAAGAAACACCTATAAAATTTTATTAAACATAAAGTGTACATTAAACTAGTTAAGATGCTTATCCTGAAAATGTCTTAGTAAACCTACATGAACACCACTGCTTTATTAGTTCTTGATTTTTTTTTGAGAGTTCAGGCCAGCCTTGAACCCACTAGAGAGCCCCGTCCATCTGTCTTCAAACTCATGGCAAGTCTGAATGAGATCGTCTTGCCTCAGCCTCCTGAATGCTGAGATTACAGGTATATCCCACATCACTTGGCTGCCAAATTCTGAGTTTTTAAAATGATAAAATTAGGTATTGCCTCTTTTTTAAAAAATTAATTTTTTTGCAGTACTAGGGCCTTCATAATTGAGCATTTTTCCTATAATTCTATTTTTACAGAAACAATACCTAGCTGGGCATGGTGCTGCATACATCTAATCCTAGCACTCTGGGAGGCTGAGGAAGAAGAACAGAAGTCTGAGCCAGCCTGGACAAACTAGTAACTTAGGAAAACCCTGTCTCAAAATAAAAAGGAGTGGTGGTGCACACGGTAAGGTTAGCACTCCAAAGGCCAGGGCAGGAGCACGCTGCAAGTCTGAGGCAAGCCTGGGCCACACAGTGAGTTTCAGGCCAGCCTGAACTATACAGCAATATCCTGTGGTCCAAAAATAAAAGAAATTAACTCTGTGAAAACAAACACTTCTTTTAACTTTTGTCAGTTAACTCTAAATGAAAGTTTAAGTTCAATATTAAAAGAAAGTAGTAAGTAAAATAAAGAAATGACTCAAAACATTGTGGTATTCAAGAACACTCGATTATCAATGATTTGAACGAAGTATACTCTTGAACTTCTTGCATCAAAAGCAACAAAAATCCTCTGGGTAGAATCCATAAACAAATTCTATTTATAGTACAACCCAATCAGCTTTGGCATTAAATTTAAATTGAAGGCTCATTTGTTTACTGTCACACTGAAAACAATTCAAGTTATTTTGTCACTGAAAAAGTACTTACGCTATTTTAAAGGCATCTACTCCCTAAATAACAACATTGTTAGCTATTTTATCTAACATGTCTGGGTCATCAGGAACAAAAACCTTGGTAGTTCAAAATATGCGATTAGTTCAAAAATAATAAAGATCTATCAAACTTGTTCATTTCTAGTTCCTGGTTTATTTTTCCTTAGTCAAGATCCCAGGACAAGATTAACAGTAATCGAGAAAAACATCAAGATACCAGTTTTAACTCAGTAAAAGATTGTGAAACAAAAATGTTTCTGTCATTGCATTCTTAGTCTCTATGTTTAAAGAATGATAACCATAGAATCAAAATTTAAATCAAAATTTAAGCGCAGTAATAACCACAAAAAATTCATTGTCCCTCTATCAAAACTAACATCCATATTTACAAAGTATCCAAATGAAGATGCACTCTTGTAATTCTGGAGAGTAGGACAACAATTTTACTAAACTGCCAATACTTCAAGGTGGCTGGCTCACTTTCATTTTAATAAAATATAGCCTAAGAAAATCTATGATCTTAAATTTCAATTTAGACGTACACTTAGGCCCTAACATCGCATGCCAACTGCCTTAATTTTATATTTATTTATGCTAGGTGATTTAGGATAAATGAGAAAATTTAGTAACTGGAATTTGAGTTCCATTTTTGTCTGTTTTGCTTACTCACAGACTAGGGCCTTGAACATTATCTTAGAGCTGAGTAGTAGTTTTAAACATGAATTTTTCCTAAACACACCACATCAGAATTTTGACCAAGAAGTTATGCTGTGTTTTCAGGATGAAAGTCTGGTATCTCCTGCTAACATCATCCAATGCTGCAGCATAGGCAGCGGAACACAAAGTTAGCAAGCTGAGCAGGAGACAGTTGCACTTTAAACAAACTGCTGCACTGGTTTGGGTGATACTGGTTTCTGCAGTTCTCTGCTATTAATCCTTAATCTGCCTAATTGTACCTCTAATATAATGATTAGAAAAGGTGATTTTACAAAGTGCATATAAGTAATCTATATAAAACACAGAACTAACTGTGACCTAATTACAGTATTCAGGCCATTTACTAGCTGTGTACTTTGGGTTGCTTAATTTCTCCAAAGTTCAGTTTCCCTATTTGTGAAAAACAGGTGATAATACCTCCAATGACTGCAGTAAGGACTGAATGAGGAGATACACACACTGAATAAGCAACTATATGCTTACTAAGCTACCCTTAGAGAAACAAGCTCAGACTCCTTACTGGGCTGAGTAAGCGTGGCTCCAACCTCGCCTCCTTCCCTTTGCCCGCGCCCTGTAACCACATCTGCCTGCCCTCTGTCTGCCTAGGCCAGACCTACAGCATCCGTGCCGCAGTGGGCCGCGCGTATCAACAGACACTGTGAGGTTCGCCAGCACTGGCCCAGGCTTCAGTCCTGCTCGTCAACCCACCAGACAGACCTCTAGCGACTGCCAACTTCGTCTCTTGCCAGCATTCTGTGCTCTGCCTGCTCTTCACCAACCTGTCCTCTGGGTGTTTAGTATATTCTCGGCTTTTGAAGTCCAGCTCCAACATCACACTTCTTTCTCTGAGTCCTTTTACGCCCCTCGTTAACCTTAATTTTCCATACTTCTTCAATTGAACTGTTCCTTGAAGGCAGGGCCTCAGCCTCTCTGCACAGTGCAAAGCATCTGCTCCAGTGCTGGAAAGATAGCACAACTCACTAATTTGGGCTGGGGATTTAGCTCAGTGGCGCAGTGCCTGCCTGGCAAGTGTGAGATCTTAAATTCATTTCCAGTACCCCAAAAAAGAAAAAAAATTACTTCTGATGGATATTTAATCTGCTTAGTGTTCTTCACACTTTTCTCTACAAATAATAAAAATATAGAAGCTAAGTTTCTCAGTTTATAAATGTATCCTAAAATAATATAATTGAATTGTACAATTGAATAATATAATTGAACATAAATTTGTTTAAATTTTTTGGTGGTCTCATATTTTTCTCCTTAAAACATGAGAATTTTGTATGCTATTCTAGAACAGACCTGCAGTTGTTTTAACCTGAAATCCCAATCTCCTTGCCCATCTCGTTAATTATGATTAAGCAAAGCTCCTGAGTATAACGGATGGAAGAAGGAAGGTGTTAGCAATAGAGAGATACTGTATAATATGTAAGTTATCAGATGAAGAAGTAGTACCTATGCTCCAGTTATGAAATACCATGGCTGCAACTAGCAGGACAGATCTGTGGAATTGTCTCCTTCCCAGAGGAAGAAGCCAGATTTGGATGGAATAAAATTAGTGCAAGAAGAGATTTTAATTTAATTAAACTTGAGAATCCACAAAGAGTGAGTCACAAGTTACTGAGGCAATAAAAACATGGCGTTTCAGCAATACCTAGATGCAAAGAGAAACCACGCTTACCCACGCAGAAACAGAAAAATTTAGTGTACCTGCCTTTGTTAAGGCAGAACATTATCCCGTTCCCTAGAGACTTGTTTTGCAGAGTTCTCCAAATGCTTTTTCACACTCTTTCTCTCTCTACAAACATCAACCCATTGCCTTTTTTTTTAAAAAAAAAAACAACGTTTCACTGTATAGTGCAACTGGCCTAAACTCACAGTGATCCTCCTGCCACAGCCTCCCAGGTGTGGGATTACAGGTGTGTGCTACCATGCCCAGCTTCAACACATTGCTTTTCACTTTAGGTCAGGTCCAACGATTATAGTTAAAGATAGTTATACTACTGATCCTCTGAGTTTACTGAAAAGAAAGGTCTGCGCTGGTACTATTTGGACAACTGAATGCAGATGTCTTGTGCTCTGGGTGACTGGTTTGGGGATGGCAATGCGCAATGTACGCCAACAACACCACTGTTGTCCTGATTGATCTCCACCTGGAAACTATCTCATTTTCATTGTTTTCTTGGGTTGAGTTTTATTCTCTTTTGCTTTATGTTAAATCTGATGGCATGAACAGCTATTTAAAAGACAGTAAGATATATTAACGGTAGCCACTTTGGATTCACTACTAGCTTATTTTGAAGACCTTTATTGCATTCATTGTTTAGTTTTTATTGTTTCTATTCTATTCTGTTCGATGTTTACTATGTCTGAAGGTATCTGAAGTTATTTTGAAGGCAATAAAAGGTATTATGGTAACTATGCTGATTTCATGACGTTTTTTAAGTCCTGTATCATTTATACTATTTTATTTTATTGGTTTTTCTGTTTTATTATCCTTGGTTTTATTCTTTTTTTTAAAAAAAAGGCATGAAAAGCTGGGTGTGGTAACACATACCTGTAATCTCAGCACTCAGAAAGCTGAGGCAGGAGGATCTCTTGTTGAGATCAGCTTAAACTACAGACTATGACCCTGTCTCAAAAAAAAAAAAAAAAAATCATGAAAAAATTTCTGTCAACATCAATTTATTAGCTTCCTAAACTATGGTTCTTCAGTTAACTTAGAAATATTTTAAACTATATTTTAGTCTAATAGATGGCAAATTTCTTCAGCGAAAAAATATTGTATGCTTTTCAGGACAGGAAACAAAAATAATATAATATGTAAGTCTCTTATAGCTACTTAACTCAGCTTTTTTTTTGATTCATGTCTTGAAACATTATTGTGATTCGGATACCTTTCTCCATGTCTCCAATCATTTTACAAATACAAAGTCATGGACCAGATAGTATCACTAAGAAATCAGATGCTATTTTCAAGGAAATAATAAAAGTAAGTGAAGCCAAGCATGGTGGCACTGGCCTATAATCCCAGCAACTTAAGAGGATAATGCAAATTCAAGTCAAGCTCGGACAATTTAGCAAGAACCTATATCAAAATAAAAACAAAAACAGAATACGGTTGGAAATGCACTTCAAGGGCAGAGCGCTTGCCTGGCATGCTCAAGGGCCTGGGCTATTGGAAACAATCCCTGTGTGTGTACACGTAGGCATGTGCATGTATATGTGCAAACACAGAATTACACACGTGGCATAAACTTGTATCAAAATGCTGACAGTAGAATGGGGTGACTCACTTTTCTTCTGATAACTATTTTATTTCAAGTCTTCTACAACTAATGTATAATTTATAACAGGAAAAATTAAACAAAAATCCTACAATTAAACCTGTTTATGATTTAAAAGACTAATCTTCACACATACCTTTGAGGGTTTGTACCTGGTTTTGCTTGAGAACAGAGCTTAAGTAGTGAGGTGATAAAGAACCACTGAAAAATGAACAGAAAAGACAAATGTGCTTAAAACATCTTTATTTCACTTTTGTAGAACTTAGTCACAAATACAACTAATCTGTGCCACTGAAAATACAAACTATTTTTATCTTGTTTTCTTTGCTAATAATACTCAGTTTAGGGAGAGTCTGCTAAAGCAGAAAGTGCACAAGGGCAACGACTAAATCGTAATTATTTGGACAGTCCTACACAAAATAATTAATCTCCTAGTTTCTTCCTCTGTAAAATAGGAATAATTAAATCTCTCATACAGGGTTGTTAAGTAAGTAAGAATAGCGCACTTAAAATACCTAGAACAGAGCCAGGCATGGTGGTGCAAACCTTGAATCCCAGCACTCAGGAAGCTGAGGCGGGAGGATTGCTGTGAGTTCGAGGCCAGCTGGAGACACAAAGTGAGTTCAAGACCAGCCTGAACTGCATAGCAAGAACTTGTGTCAAAAAGGCAAAAAACAAAAACAGAAGAAAAACTAACAGGGTGAGGCCGGTGGTAATTCCTGCACCCTGAAAGCTGAAGCAAGTTGAAGGTCAGGCTCAACTATACATGAGACCTTCTCTTAAAAGCACAAAAAACCAAAACAACAAACCAAATTAAACAAGTGAACATAAACAGAACTTTCTGTTATTTCTAAATTATTATTCAGTAGAACACCTCATAAGTACCAAGAATTCCCAAATGAGGACATTAAGTCTGATAATATCTTAGTTTCATTTCACAAAGAGAAATCACCCAGTAGTTTCATTTTCAACGATCTATTTAATCTTCAAATAAGGTAACAACTTACGCTCTCAATTAGCTATCAGTCATATATACCACTGACATTTCAACTTTAGCTTTCCCAGTCTTTTGTTTGTTGTGTTTTTTTAACTGTACACCAGCTACAACTTGTCCTTTACAAGCTCTCTAATAACAAGAACTCAGATGCCTGTAATTCCAGGGGAGGCTGAGGCAGGATGGACAAGTTAGAGCCCGGCCCAGGCAATTTAGCATCTTAGACAAAACTTTTTCTCATAATAAAGGGATATGTAGTTCAGTGAAGAGGCTCTGGGTATGAACCCCAGAACTGTGCCAAAAGGGGACAGAATTCAAACAAAGTACTGCATGAAACGTTGATAACTGTTGCAGTTGAAAGTTAATTGCAATTTTCTCTTCTGAATATGTCTGAAATAGCTCACTTTATTTTTTCTTTGTTCTTTTCTTTTCTACTTTTGTTTTTTTTAAAGACAGTCTTCTTCCTGGCCTTGAATTCACAGCAACCTTCCTGCCTCAGCCTCCCAAGTGCTGGGATTTAGAGGCATGTGGCACCAGGCCCAGCTATATTTTTCAAAAACAAGTAACAGAAAACAAGTTAAAATTATCTTAAAAGAGGGATGCTGAGGTGTGGCTCAGTGGTAGGGCTCTTGCTTTGCATGCACAGATTCTGGATTCAATCCTCAGCATCACCAAAAAAAAAAAGTTATCTTAATAAAATTTGGCATTTTCAACTCAAATGAATGGCTATAATAGGAATTTTTAAAGATTTAGACCACTTAGGAAAAGAAAACTAAATCAAATGTAAGGAGGTCACATAATTTTTAGATTTAACTTAAAATGAGAAAGCTAGAAAATGAAAAGAAACTATTGGGTTTAAAAATAAGAGCCAAGCAAAGTTTTAGGAATATATACTATAATAACATTTACCAGAAAGAAACCAAAAAGACTTCAAAGCATTATTTTACTTGCCAGCTGAAACTTTAGACATGAACATACTTAATATTAATGAAAGACAAAAACTTACAAAATAAATGTAAATACAGAATACATATAAAAATCTTATACCATTCATCATCTCATGTAAAATTTTTAAATAAGTCAGACAGCCCTGGTGATGGCCCATGTGTATAATCCCAGCACTGAGGAGGCTGATGCAGGAGAGCTCTTGAGCTCTAGGCAACACTGGACGCTATCAGTAGCCTCTAACGTCTAAACAAACAAAATTCCCATGACTTAAGGAGTCATAGCGTTAGTACCGCAAATCATTTTTAAAATTTAACTTTTTGGTAATTGAAATTGTAACTTTTTAAATAATACACTGTAAAGACTAAAGTGTGTGTATGTGTGTGTGTGTGTGTGTCCACAAGGGGCTCGTGCCAAGCAAGTGTTCTAGTATCGAGCTACATTTTCAGCCGTTTTTACTCTATGAAAACGTCACACCAAGCTGGCCCCAACCTTGCCATCCCTTTGCCCTGGCCTCTGGAGTGCTGGGATGACTGCAGCGTACTGCAGCACCTGGCTCAGGGTTTAAGTTTCAACTGCCCAGTATCTTGGTTTTAATACAAATTAAACCGTAAGTAAACACACCTTAAGCTAAAGTGAGCTAAAATACTTCTCTATACAATTAAAACAACTTCAGACCTACAACACTAAGTTGCTCCATCTCACACATAAATCTAGATCACTGGGGACAGATACATGGCAAATCCTTACCTTTGTGGAGAGGAAAAAGGTTGTTTCTTCAGTGCCTGCATGAGATTGGGTTTATATTCTGGATCAACACACCACAAAGAACCTTTTCCATTTACCTAAAGCAAAATGCACAAGAATTAGTAACCTGGAACTTTGTTTTTTAAAGACATTTTGTAGTTCAGGCTGGCCTTGAACTCACTTTGTACCCAGGTTGGTCTCAATCTTCCTGCTTTAGTCTAAGTGCTGGGATTACAGGGATGAGCCACCACACCCAGCAACCTAAACTTTTATACATATAGAATGCGAATGTTTTTAATAAATGCTGGGGAAAACCCTCCAGTATCTTTTGAGTACTATACCAAAACTGAAATGAGCTTGCTAGGCATGACGGTAACTAACATGTGATGTGTAAAATTTCTACTTGCTCATGAGAGTACCGAGGTTTACACTCACTGACATCAAGTTTTATATGATGCTTCTGTATCGCTGGGGATATAGCTCAGTGGCAGAACATTTGCACAGTATGTGCCAGTCCCTGGTTTGCTCCTTCCCCACTACAAAAGAACCAATAAAATGTATTTGCTTCCTCTTCCCCCACTCATTTCTGCTTGTCTGAAATCCTATATAAGAGTTAATGTCATCTCCACAGTGCTTCTACTTTCTAAAATTTTTCAATTTAGTCTACTAGCCAGACTTTTTATCTCTGAAAATTGTGTTATAGTTTTTACAGAAAATGACATAGGGAAAGAATATCACTCCATAGGTTTAAAAACAGATCTTGATCTTAATCACTGCTTCCTGACCTTCTGCCTGACCCTGGGCAAATCATTAGGTCTCTCAGAGCCTTGTCTTTCATTCACTTTATCTACAAAAAAAGAACAAGTCACATCATTTCACAGAACTGTTACTAGATTCAATAAGGCAATTTAAATATAAGAAACACAGTTGCAAAATAAATGAATACCAAAGAGTTATCGTAACAGGCATTAAGTAAGAGTTACTGAATAACAATCAGGACCTTCTTATTCCCTTAAATCCAAGAAATGAAGAGGTTTATCAACAAAAAACAACTGACAATAAAAGAAAAAAGATTTAGGTGATAAAGAATAAGGGGCATGGGACACTGAGTCAAAGGATTCCCATGGGTTTAAGGCCAGCCTGAACTATAGGTGAGACCCTGCCTAAAACACAAAAAACAAAAAAGTGTGTGTATGTGGGGGGAAAACAAGCCTCAGCTGTGAATAGGTGGAAAAACTGAACATAAGACATTGTTAAATACCCTAACAACTTTACTTCGTAGGAAGAGAAAACCTCAGGATGTCTTGTCACACTGGAATTCAGCAGTAAGCTATCTCATCATATTCAAAAAGTAACTGACATGATAACCTTTTCTGAGAAAAATTTTACAAATGTATTTTTGGATCAAATGAAAAAACTTAAGATAGTTGTCTCTTGCCCAAATGGTAAGTGTTTTTTGAATGGTAGGGAAATAAAAGTTCAAAACATTAACACCCATATCTTTTGCTCCAAAACCAATTCACTTTCATATAGAAAAGACATATGTGAGTTTTTTTATACAATGAACAAGACACTGTTTTAACAATTCTAGCCATATTCTACCTTGGTGTCCCTGACATTGCACTCCTAGACTTCAAGTCTACTTTTCAAATTCTATCGTGAAAAGACTGCAAACCGTTTTGATCACAGCAGAATTGCCATTTCCTTGAAATAGCAAATTGCAAGAACTGGTTTCGAAAACTTGCAGTTTCAGGGCAGTTAAGTGTCCTGAGAATGGTCTCAAATAACAGTCTGGGTTATGTTACCATGGCAGCACTTCCTTTCTGAGTCTGTTCATGAACTATCAGTAACAAGAGACAAAACCATGCATTTGCTAGTCTAGGCAAAAAGGAACTTATTTTTAACTAGTTCTTACTTAAAAACTGCCTCCACATTACTGTGCTTAGATGATGGGTCACCGGTAATAATTTTACAAATATTGTCTTTAAACTAAATTCACCTATAAAAAAATCTTTTGTGCAATGGAAACAAGAAATCCGTATTTTCTTTTACTATTTTGCATTTTGAAAGTAGGTTGGATTTAATTTCAAAAAGAACCACTGAAAGTTTTGAAGATATGAGGAATATATTAGGACTGAAAATTTAAAAGACTTAACGAAAGTGTCAGAGAATGCTCTTGGAGAATGTGAAGTGTTTTGCAGGTTCCTTTCCTTGCCTCTCTCTTCAGGGGCTTTCCTTCTGAGAAGGCTCTGCGCAGCCCAGGCTGGCCTCCAATTCTCTATGACTCTCCTGCCCGGCCTCCCAAGCGCTGAGGTAACAGGTCTGTTCCGCCACAGCTGGCTTCAATGGCTTTTAGAGCCATGAAGTTAGAAAGTAACTGATCAAAGTTGTACTAAAACAAGCAAAATTTAATTACATGTTTCTGTATTAACAGGTGTTTCTGTATTATCAGGTGGCCTATAAAAATTTTAAAAAGTTAGATAGAAAAGTTAAGTGTTAATGTTTAAAGCATAAAACCAAAACTACACCGAACCAAAAACACTACCATGTCTACCTTTTGTAATTTTTAAATTCTGAGACAAATAACAAACCAAGATTTTTGGATCTGTCTTTTGAGAAGTAACTGTGGAATGGATGATGAAAGAAAAAAAATCTTCTTATCTTGTACTGATACGGTTACTATTTTACAGCTTAATCTAAATCTTGCCTGTGGCGGCACATGTCTGTAATCCCAGCACGCAGGAGGCTGAGGCAGGAGGATCACAGTGCATTTGAGACCAGCCTGAGCTACCTAGTAAGCGCAAGGTCAGTCTGAACTGCATGGTGAGACCCTGTCTCAAAAAGACAAAAAACAAGCCAACAAAAACAAAACCTTGCTGCCTTACCTTGTTTGGAGATTATCATCTCTAGATAGCAGCTAATTCATTAGAAAAGTGCTATCAAGGTTGCCAAATTCAATTTCAACATTTAATGGAAATATAACTTAATTGCCTTCCATGGAGTGGGAAAAAAAGTACTGTCACTTTGAGGTATTAACTAAAAAAAAGGTCTTATCAGTTAAGAAAAAAAATCCATATGCATTTCCCATTGTACTTGAATCTATTTCTTTTTGTCTGATTCTTAGACATTTAAGCAAAGTGGTCTACTGATTTTTATGACCACCATCACCTAAAGTTCCTTTAGCCCTATCCTGACTGGTGGGGGCAGTTTGCCAATTTTTGTTCCTATATATTACAATTTCTGTATTTATCCTTATGTTTTAGTAACAAAATAATTTTTTCTTTATCAAATGCTACCCACATTGTGAACTGTACACTTTCCCATTCATTAGCTCTTATTTCTTTAATTGATTTCTTTCTCTGAACATTCAAAAGTCTTCAAATTATATAAATAATGCATACTTTAAAATTATGGACAGGACCAGGTCTCTTTTTGAGCACTACCACAGACTGTACTGCACTGGATACATGGCTCTGTATCTTCACTACAAACGACACCACAGTGACTGCTCTGACTCATCTTCTTGGGTACACACATGAAGATACTCTGGGGAATGCGTAGCATCTAATCTGCTAGATCAGAAGACAAGTCCATGTGTAATTCTGCCCTCTAGACTGGTCACCCTAATTTACACTCCAGCCAAGGGATATATATAGCTCAGTGATGGAATGCATACCTAGCTTTGCATATTGCCCTGAGTTCCACTTGCAGAGGAAAGAAAGGAAAAAAAGGGGGGTGGGGGACAAATTACACATCTCCTCACATCCTGACTTAATTTGGTATTATAAGATATTTAAAATTTTTACATTCCAATAGATAAAAATGAATTAGGGGTGGCTGCTGCTAAATGTTCTTCTTTTACTTTGTATGTCCTTATTTACTATAAGTATGAAAGTCCTTCTATGTGTTAACTGACAGAGCTTTCAAGGAAGGGATTAAGGTAAATTAATTGAAAATGATTAACAATCATAGCAATAGCATCCAACACCTAGAGAATGCATATTCTCTACTACACATAGAATACTCATGAAATCCAACTACACACGTGGCAAGCCATAAAGAAGGCTTCAACAAATCTCAAAGATCAGTGTCTGTCAAAATAGCCAGAAAATAAACACTTGTTTTAAGCCACTAAGTTTAGGACTAATTTGTTATATAGAAATAGATAACTAATATAGTGTAATAAATATATTATAATCCTATTAATTTGAAAAAATAGCAAAAAATTAACTTGAAAACACTATCTGTTAAACTGTTTAATAATTGTTTCTTAACTTACAGCTCAAAGAAGAAAAAGAAATGCAAATTAGAAAGTACTTTGATAATAAAAATACAAAAAAACAATTTTCAGTATGCAACTAAAGCAGTAGCCATCAAGAAATACATAGCTTTACATAATATTAGAAAAAAAGTCTGTCTCTTATAAATTTTGAAAATAGAAAAGTAGAAAAAAGTATTTTTACTATCTATCTGACAAAGTGCTTGCATATGCACTGATTTATTTCTAGGCTCTCTATTCTACTTCATGGGTCTATTTATTTATAATACCGTGTCTTGCCAGGGGTGGCAGCATACTCCTATAACCCCAGCACTTAGGAGGCTGAGGCAAGAGGGTCACTATGAGTTCGAGGCCAGTCTGGGCTCCATACTGAGTTCAAGGCCAGCCCGAACTACACAGTGAAACCCTGTCTCAAAAAGCGAAACAAAACAAAAAAACCAACTAAACTTTAAAAAGCCCAAAAACTAAAACAACAAAAAGCTTTTGTCTTGAGTACCTTAACATTGTTTCATCTTGCTATTTAATATAACACCAGCATGGTCCCATCTTATTCATCTTCACAAGTCTTTCCAAAGCTTTGCACTTCTATAAAGTTACAGCATCTTTGTGTTTGTTAATGTATCAGCTCCCCACGCTCCCACACTGCTCCCTGCAAACCCTACTGGAAGTAACCATCACACCGCGGCTGGGGCAGAGCTGCTGTCTTTCCGTGTGGTATCTATTCATCTTGGTCTTCTGTGTCTTCATAAAGGCCTCACACATCTGTTGGTTATTCCTGTTTAATGTTATTATTCAATTTTTTTCATTTTCTAACAGATG